AATAAACATTGCCATCCGATCCAGCGTAGTCGATTACGTCTGTTCCATCCGATTTCAAGGCTACCTGGAATCACTGGATTCCAGTCCTCAGGTTTCAGGGAAATCCGATTCCACGCCTGAACCAGTGAAAACCAAGATCTCGCTTGGCTTCCATCTTAAAGAGGACACTTTGGCTTATCCGGCCATGAAGGAAAACGAAAGTATTTGTACTTGAAGATTTTGAGCTATGAGTTGGCTTTCCAAAGATCTCTCTAAAAACCTACATTAAAAATTTATTTTCGAATTAATATCTATTATAAAACTGTGCCTCAAAGTCTGTTTTTTTGAATGGTGAAAACCCAAACTCTCTACCACATTCAATTACCGAGATACTCAAAAAATAGTCGGGGGCATTGTATTTCGTAACGGATAGTAGTAAATTTGATTTAATGAATCTGATGAATTTATTTTATTTTATTATTTTCTCTACTAATAGAAAAAATTTTGCTCTCTGCAATCGTAACTTTATAGAGCCACAGTCATATATTATAAAAAATATTTTACTTTAATAATTTAATAAGCTAAAGATTTTTTATAAGACTTTTAAACCTTTAAAAAAAATTTAATATAATATTTTAAAAAATTAACCTTTTTAACATTGTATATTATAATATAAGTAAGCACATTACTATAGTTATTTGAACTAAATTACAGAAAAATTCGTTTTTGTTTTGCGTAAAATTTTTCTATTATTTAAAAGTGATCGAATTTTGTATTAGTCGCACTGAGCAGTGTAAACGAGTCATGTCAAGCAGAATATAGTGCGACAATTTAGTTGCTCTAACCACATCATTTTTCCAATGTCGAATGACAGTTCAGTATTTTCAGCAGAAATTACCGTCAAAATTTAGTGAAAGCACAGAAGTTAGAGTAAAAGAATTAGTAGAAACTACAGAATTTAGTGTAAAAATTCAGTGAGAAGCACAGAATTTAGCGCAAAAATTTAGTCAGAAGCACAGAACTTAGTGTCAGAATTTGGCGCGAAGCGCAAAATTTGGTAAGAGATTGGAGAATTTAGTTGCTCTTCAACAGAATTTAGTGTAAAAATTTAGTGGGAAGCACAGCATTTAGTTGCTCTACGGTCATCGTTTTTGGAATGTTCCATCAGACGGTAGTACTTCCAGCAGAATTTATCGTCAGAACTTGAGAAGTGCTGAAAACTACTGGAACTTGACTTACTGAAAACTTGAGTGAGAAGCACAGAATTTGGTAAGAGCTTGGAGAATTTAGTTGATTTTCACCAGAATTAAAAGTAAAAATTTACTGAGAAGCACAGAATTTAGTGTCAAAATATGGTGAGAAGCTTCAATAATTTTATGTTATTATCGCCTAATAAACCAGCAATAAATCGATCTTCATGTTCGAATGCAAGGTTAATACCTGTACCAAATAACACTAATTCAAGATCAAGAGAACCATAATTGCCATCCGTTCATGGTTTCTTTTGACCTATTAGTGCGCCACCAAACATAATCAGCATTAATAATAATAATGTCCACCGCAATACTTGTTGTATTTTCGTTTTAACATGTTGTTGTTCAATGAGTTGTTTACCAATAGCACCTAATTTTGTCATTAAGGATAGAGTATGATATGCATCAGGAAAGTTCGATGATTGTATCCAGGAATATCATCTTTTTTCTGCAAAACTCGATATTTCTGTCGAAGAACTTCACCTATTTTCCTCGAAAACTCGACGTTTCGCAACAAGAACTTCATCTCCTTTCCTTGAAAACCTGAGCTTTCTGCATAAGAACTCCACCTTTTTTACTGTAAAACTCGATCTTTCTCTCAAAGAACTTCAACTTATTTTTCGGAAAAGTTGATGTTTCTTAACGAGAACTTCAAGTTTTCCAGGAAAGAGTTGTATACAGAGTGAAAGACTGAATAAAAGGATAAAAAACGAAAAAGAAGTTCACGCTCAGCAAGAATATGATCTTATATTTAGACTTTGGCTAACAAGTGGGGAGCAAAATAATAAAAACCGAACAAGAAAAAGGAAAAACGACCTTAAAAGTAGACTTCAGGTTTTAATGCGAGGTCATTTTGGATATGACGCCCTGCAGTAGAAGAACTTTCAAATAGTGAGTTTTGTAGTTCTACCCTGTGCGCAATTTCTCGCAAACTTTGAGGCTTGGTCACCTATTCTGTGGAATATACAGCTCAAAATACTGAAAGGCATCGACGTCGAAAAGCCGAATTTTTCTCCGCTAGTAGGGGGAGAATGGAGACATTGAATATAAGGACTTGTAGCCCAAAGTGAGATCTACAAAAGTGTATAGAGAAAATATTTCTTTTTGGTATATTGGCTCTAGATCCTGTAAGCCTAGATGAAAATGGAATTTCTTATATGCCGTTCGACGCACCGCGAGCTGTTCTACAAAGCTGCATATTAGGCTTCTTGGTTCAAGGGGGGGTCACCAAATCCGACAGGGTCCCTTAGGACAAGCATCTTTCAGTATGAAATGCGATTTTCTTTATTATTTTTGATTTTTCACTACGAAGGAAGCGTTTCCGAACATTGTGGCTAGAAAAGAAAGTATTGAAAACTGAATTTTCTGTATCATTGTCTAGAGGTTCGACTATGAAAAATACTTCTGTCAAGGCTAATAATCTTAATTACACTAACCTAATTAAACTTCTTTAAAAGTTTAATTCACTAATTAATCAGAACAGAATCAGAACTATTTAATATATTTTTAGTGTGCGTTCCTCTGATATAGTGATGTACGGAGAAGATTATTAATCGGCTCCGTTCTTTATTTACAGAGTTCGAATCTCTAAAGGGATTTCTTTTTCGTTTTTTATCCTTTTATTCAGTTTTTCACTCTGTATACTCTCTGATATACGAACTTTAAATGTTCTAGTTGATGGAAACCTCATGCTCCCTCAACCTATTTATCCAACTGAGTAGTTATTCTGCCTGCCTTTCAACAACAGTATGGCATAAAATACGCACTATTTTTATTATTTACAAACAGTGTGATTCTTGTAATTAGGTATGCACCAGTTAAAAACTGATGTTGGGGCATCCGGGAGAATTGCTATACATCAGTTATCACAACTAACTAGCTCAGAGCTCTGAAACACCTGATTTTGTAGAATTTTTCTTTTTAAAATGCTCTAAGTTTTCTTAGAAATAATTCTGAAACTTTTTTAACAAATGCATTTTGTAGAACAAACATTTTTCTACAAAATCAGATGTTTCAGAGCTCTGAGCGAGTTGTGATAACTGATGTATGGTAATTCTCCCGGATGCCCCAACACCAGTTTTTAACTGGTGCATACCTACTCGTAATACTCGTTTCTATTCGGAATTAGGCTTCTAGAGTAGTTTACATTATTTGTCCATCTCTGATAAGGAATCAAGATCAATAACTGAAAGAGAGAGAGATTCTATGTTGGATGGTTTTCTCAAAACGTCCCCATAATCTCTAACTGGTAATAGAAAAATAACGCAGAGATAACTATAAGATTTACGTTTTTATATATTCTGTCAATCGATAACATATGAATTTAACAGCTGTCATAATACTTTTAATATCAATATCTCAATACTCAAAATGACATAATACTTGCTGCTACATGTTCTACATTTCTTTGGATGTCATCATCTAACGTTTTATCTATACTCTAAATGACACTTACTGTCTTTTAATTGTTTCCTCCTTATTATATTTACAGATATATTTCGGTTAATATCTTGGCTCTCAGTAGAGTAATAATATTGATTAATACATATTTTCCCAGTATGCTGTAGAAAAATACTTTTCTAATTAATTCTACTAGTTATACTCGACGGTAAGAACGTGTTTTTATATTTTGTATGCTACATAAAATTTTGAAATGAATAAATATTTTCCAGGCTTTTCTGTCAGAATTATACGAGAATTATGCAGAATATGTAGAAGATATTATGCTTTCTCCAGGAGAATTTAGATATCTTCATAGTCGCTTTCCTGTCTAGTACACGACGGCGTACTTTAAGTATTTGAATAATTTGACCTAATCTGTTATTAAACTTTACGCTCTAATTGAGTTTAGCTGAGTTCGTTCATCATCGGTTTTATTTGACTAATCAATTAGGCGCAGGGTTATATAGCGGCTGACGGAAAGTTTAGGCTGTTAAATATTTTCGTATAGAGGTTAGAAGATTTTTTCTCATACGAGTCAAAGGCGTCGCATTTTCTGTGTTACTGAGTGTCTGATGGTAGTAACTGTACTTTTTTTACAAAGGACTGCGTTCTATTCTTTGTTGTTGAAAGAGTGATATGTGGTATTGTATGGCTTATATACTAACAGACTTATTTTTACAGTATGTATGCCAGCCTTTGGTTTGTTTTTCAGAAGGAAAAGTAATAATAGGAAGAAAAGAAGTGGACGTGCAAAAAGTAAAAGAATGACAACTTTTGCTGACTAACTGGTAAATGTTAACTTAAATCTTTATACATTGTAATAAATCGTTCTTTAGTTCGAGAATTAACGTTAGCTTCCTTTTGAGAAGTATTTGAAGTTATTGTTTGAGAAGAAATACTGGATAACTTAGGAATGGAAATGGTGTCAAGAATATTGTGGGTAGATGCATCATTTAATAAATGGTCGAAATCTCCGATATCTTTAGGAGTCATTGCATGATAAGTACAACAGGACACAGCGGAATCTCGCATCCAAGATGTGACCGATTTCGCTCAAACATTTAGAGTACGAAATTCAAACGCATTTAGGAATAACCTGAAAGTTTCAGCTCAAACGGTGATTTCGTTCAAGAGATATAATGTTTGACAACTTTAATTGTATGTCCCGTGATAACCGGGTAGTTATAGATACAATCGTCGAGGAACTTTTATAAAAATGTTTTTGCTTTACTTAATACAGTATTCGGGAAAAGAAATGGCTTTTTCGTGTTTGTTAAGAAAAACATGGATATTTTTAGGTTTTTTATCGTTTTCAGATTAGTGACAATGAACATTTCAATAATAATACGCTCTTTGTTACTTATTGCATTCAGCACGATAATACGAGCAGATGATCAATTAACAACATCAGCTATTGTTCATATTTATCCAAATTTTGCTGAAATTTTACAATCTGTCCCTGAATTTGCATCATCATCGTCATCACCAAAGAACATTGTTAAAATTGAATTCAATGAAGATGAATGGAATGATATTCGCGCAGATACATTGATGTTAACTGTAAATCATCATGATTTAAAATCTGAAGATATGAATTTATCAGTTACATCCGAAGCCATAACTGAAAAAAAGAAATCGACAAACGGTGAAACAATTTTCTTGAGTGATTTACAAAATAAAACTGCACCATTGATTGAAGCAAAAATGATTGATGAAATTAGACAATTGATTTTTGATGTTAAACAACAATTATATTATACAATAAGCCCAAATGAACATCGCATTTTGTACAAGACATTGCCAGAAATAAAGAAATATATTGTTACGTTCACTTACAATCAATCACCTGTTGTCAAAATACCGCGATCATCACTTTATGTTGCTTATTTATATGCAAAATTAAAATGGAAAACTCAATATCAGTTACTGTTATTTAGTGAAAAAAATCGTACAGCAGAATTAACAATTTTTGCTAATATTCAAAATGATGGAATGAAAACAATTGCAATTGATGCTGGACAATTACTGAGTGGGGATATTAATATTCAAATGGTTAAATGGTTACCACAAACAATGCCTATACATCATGATGCTAGACAAAGAACACATGTGTCTGGTTTGCTTGGTGGATCCCGTTATGCTGAATCATACTCACCACCACCACCAATTATCTCCTCGTCCGGACAAGAATTAGCTGGTGTATATCGTTATACAATTGATAATCCGTTCATAATTGAACCAAAAACTCAATTTTTGTTGCCTATGATAAAATCAAATGTTAAATGCGAACGATTCGGTTTAATTGATCAAGTATTTTCAGTAACAAAGACAAACAGTGAAGGTAGATAAAGTTTGAAAAGTTCTTTTCCCTTAGGCTAAACAATATTTTATAGGTTGAGAGCTGTAATATAATTCTTTAAGTGTTATGTGTAAAGCACTCTCGAACTTAAAGCTGCTGTTTTAACTTCTAAGATAAATTTAAACTTATCATTAAGGGCCCTCCCCCTTAGAAATTATCTCCGACACCGTGCATCCGATCTTGACGAAACTTTCCGTAAATGTTCGGCACAATGAATTACGGGAATAAACAAATTTTTTTGTCTCCAAGTCTTACGGTTTAGGAGTTTTCCAGAGATCAACGTCCAAAAAGGACCCTGAACGGCGTCCCAAGATTTTTTAATATACTTCAAGCTGGAGAGTTCGGGTTTGTTTTATTTTAAACTAGACACCTAACTACATCGACTGACCGGCGCCGATTTTTTAATTA